TATATTTCTAGAATATTCTGTAATATCGTAAATATGACAATGATGGATTAACCTATACTTTCATCTAAAAAATGGTTTAAAGAAAAATAAAATATATTTGTTATTCAAATGATGAGTTAGGAATATAAGATTAATAAAAAAAATACAGAATAAATTTCTTCCTAAACAAAGTATTTAATATGTTCTATAGTAAAAAATACTATATGATGATTAAAATATTATATTTTCGAACCAACTGAAAGGGTATCAGCAGATGTAGTTTCTCTATAGAAATTCATCTCAAAGAATAACTAAATTATAAAAAATAGATAATAATTTTTAATTAGAAGATTCATATTGGGGCATCAGTTATTTTTCTTTTTTATTTGAAAAATTTTGTATAAATTTATAGAGGTTTGTAATAAATTTATCCTAAAGCCATAAATTACTTCATAGATAAAAGAAGTTAATTATAATAAGATGAAATTCAAGATTTTGAGGTGTATTCAAGAAATTTTGTGGTTTTTTTTGTAAATATTTATGGAAATTATATTAAAATTAACTTAATTAATTAATATCGCACTTTTTTTTTTAATTCTAATTATTTCTTAACTTATTTAAATAAATTTACTAAAAAATTAAAAAAAATCACTAAACCTATGACTATTTTAGTAATTTTTGGATATGAGAATTGGAAAAATAATTAATTTGATAATCAATCTTTTACAATTTTTTCATCTAATAGATTGTTAGATTATGGATTAAACTTAAAAGATGTGTTTCACTGCAGATGAAAATCAAAGAAAAAAACCCAGTATTTTATGAAAAAACTTATTTTAATGATTTGGGCCTTAATTATTCAAACAACATGTAGCAATTAATCTTTGCATTATTAATAATCTAGTAAAAATAAATTGCGTAAGCTTAAACTAACAGAAAATCAAGTTTTTTCAGTAAATTTAAAGAAAACAAAAGTATATGAAATATGATCATATCTTAGATGTTAATAATTTAGATAATTATTTTTTATATCATTAATCATACAAGTATTTTGTTAAAATCTAAAATCGCTCTATATTTTTCATTGTTAAGTTAAATTATAATGAATTATTTAAATCTGATATAAGATGAAGACTAACAATGGCGATAAAATGGTAATTAATGAAAAAAATTGAAGGAAGAGGATGGTTATTATTTTATCAGTAAAATTATTGAATTCTAAAGAATTTTCGGCATAGATAATTTAACTTAAAAATAGTAAAAAATTTTGGGAAGAATTACAGGGTTGATTAACAATCTTAGGTTTGTTATCAAAAAACTTACAAACTTCTACATTAATTGAAAATTGGCTATTTATAATAAAAAAAAGTTGTGCAGGAAGTTGAAGTACTGTTCTCATCACATTCCTCCCAAAATGATAGAAACATTTCATTGTTATCATGAATAAATTACAATGAAGTATGCCGTATAAAAATAACAGAAGCAGTAGGATAGTATTTGAAATACTATATAAAGAGACAGAATCTACTCTACACATTTGAGACTTTGGGAAATTTGAACAAATATAATTACAAAATTTAAGGTTCTAAGAAAAAAATATAAATCCTAAAATAATTTTTGACCAATAAACAACCCCTTAATTTTTATAAATTATTTAGATAGCCAATATTGAAATTCTATAATCATTCCAGGTTCTCGAAAATAAAATAGGATTCCAAGAGTTATAGATTTATTACATTCTAATACAGAATTTCTATAAAGTATTTAAGTATTCTGAAAACCTATTTGAAAATAATTCTATTTTCATTCCCAGATGTTCTATAAAGAATAGGCATAAACTTAATTATTAGATACAAATATCTTTGAAACAATAGAAGATCCTAATGAAAATATTTACATAATTTAATATTATATAAACTCTTCTTTTCTAAGTATATTCAAATTAACAAAGAAACTCGAATGTAAAATAGATACATTTAAGGATTCATTCTTCACCATAACTAAAGTTTTATTCTAATTAGTTCTACATTAATAATTGATCTATTGATTAATGCTTATAACTTTAATTTTTTTGCTTAATTTAATATCTCCATCTGAAATTATTTATTAAATGCCTTTTAATTTCCTTTCAGATATTTTAAAGGCATTATCAAACTCAATTTTTGCTGCAAAAGTAGAATGATATTGATTAGTATAAGATGTGAATCATTTAACTGATTAAGTGATTGGATAGCTTTTTATAAGTTCCTAAACATATCAAAAGATTAATATGATTAAATAATAAAGAATAATAGCATCTTAATATTAGAATATTATGTAGCAGTCTCATTAAAATTAATAAGAAATGAGGGAGTATTGTAGCATATTTCAGTTCATGGTATTTTAATATATAAAGATGCTTAGAATTAACTCTATATAGTTTTGATTGTCTTTTCTGTGTTTTTGCTTGTTGCGAGCTTTAAATCATTGCCTCAATTATTTATTGTTTTGATTTTA